GCAGGAGAGGACTCTTTAAAGTAGAGACACTACATACTGATATACACCTGAACATCAGCAGGAGAGGACTCTTTAAAGTAGAGACACTACATACTGATATACACCTGAACATCAGCAGGAGAGGACTCTTTAAAGTAGAGACACATACATACTGATATACACCTGAACATCAGCAGGAGAGGACTCTTTAAAGTAGAGACACTACATACTGATATACACCTGAACATCAGCAGGAGAGGACTCTTTAAAGTAGAGACACTACATACTGATATACACCTGAAGATCAGCAGGAGAGGACTCTTTAAAGTAGAGACACTACATACTGATATACACCTGAACATCAGCAGGAGAGGACTCTTTAAAGTAGAGACACTACATACTGATATACACCTGAACATCAGCAGGAGAGGACTCTTTAAAGTAGAGACACTACATACTGATATACACCTGAACATCAGCAGGAGAGGACTCTTTAAAGTAGAGACACTACATACTGATATACACCTGAACATCAGCAGGAGAGGACTCTTTAAAGTAGAGACACTACATACTGATATACACCTGAACATCAGCAGGAGAGGACTCTTTAAAGTAGAGACACTACATACTGATATACACCTGAACATCAGCAGGAGAGGACTCTTTAAAGTAGAGACACTACATACTGATATACACCTGAACATCAGCAGGAGAGGACTCTTTAAAGTAGAGACACTACATACTGATATACACCTGAACATCAGCAGGAGAGGACTCTTTAAAGTAGAGACACTACATACTGATATACACCTGAACATCAGCAGGAGAGGACTCTTTAAAGTAGAGACACTACATACTGATATACACCTGAACATCAGCAGGAGAGGACTCTTTAAAGTAGAGACACTACATACTGATATGAAGCTGAGAATGAGCAGAATAGGGCCCCTTTAAATATATCTGAATGTAACTGATAACATTTGAAAGTGATTTAATGTATAAGAAAAAAGGGCAGAACTTTTTATTTGTTAACGTTAATGGTATGCCAGAGGCCACTGGCAGGAGTTGGGAGTTTGTCTTGTTATCTACTATAATATTCATTTTAATGACCAATTCTTTAACAACAATAATGTTAAGCTTTTTTTTCTACAAGCTTCTGGGAAATAAGTATTTTGATTTGCTCTGATGTGAAATGAGAGCAAACTAACAGACTCGGCTCTAAATGATGTTATCAAGGACAGTCTATGTAATCAGGGATAAATTGATCTGCTGTGTGTGTGTGTGTGTGTGTGTGCTGTGTGTGTGTGTGTGTGTGTGTGTGTGTGTGTGTGTGTGTGTGTGTGTGTGTGTGTGTGTGTGTGTGTGTGTTGAACACCACGTTAAGGCTTTTCCTCCCCCCTCATCATCCCACCATCTTCTCTGTGTCACCACCAGATTCTTCCTGTTTCCCAAACTGACCTCCCTCTGATGGAGTAAACAGTATTTAATGTTTAGTATTATCTCCAAAGTGTGTGTTTATCATCGCGTCCAATCACTTTTGTCAGCCTTCAATCGTACTTCATCTCCTCGGCAGTTCAAACTGTCCGTCTGTGTTTCAGCAGGGCATCTCAGGTCTGATTAAGGGCAGAAAAATAAATCTTTGGAGGATCAACAAAATGTTAATGATGCATCTCTGACACATCACTGTTGTTTAAGAAAGTCCTCTGAATGCTAGATGTGTGTCCAAAATGTAAAGTTAACATTCACAAACCTGGTCAATCAAGATCAAATCTTAATATGGTGTGATCAGGTTCGTTGAATTTCTCTTACTAGATTTGTACTATTTTTAACTATAAGCTTTCTTATTTGATCTTAATGAGTTACTTCTTATAACTTATTAAGCCGTGCCCTCACACCACAGATCTGAAGCAATGGCAAGTGAATTAACTTCAAGCTTACATTTGATATTTCAGGAAGTACCTCAGAAATACAAAGAAGAAGAAAATCCAGTAAAACCGCAATTTTTTCCCAATAAATTAAGTTTATTTGTCAACAGTTGGTTGTACATTGTAGTTAGCAGGAACCATGCAGTCAAGCTTTTTATGGCCAATACTAATAATAAGGATATTCCACATCACAGGTCACATACACAGTTAAATAAACACCAACACCAAGCATTCCTCCCTCTGCATTTTACACCAAGGCTTCACACTTTTACATATATACACATCTTGAACCTTGCATTTTCTGTTTTTATTTTTTGTTGCATGTTTTTGATCACCTAACTGGGAAAGAAAGCAGTGGTTTTTAAATAACAAAAGAAAAAGGTAGAAGTAGTAACAGTAGAGCAAGGCACACAATTATATTTGAGATATTTCAAACCCTATTTTTGTCCTACGCACACCTTCTCAATACCGACCCGACCCCCAGCGTCACTGCTAATCATCCAGTTCTCTAGAAAATTAAAACAACACATGGTGTACTTACTTACATACAGCAGTATTATAACCCCACCAACACTCATCAAACCTCAACGCAACAACACCGATTCAGCTTTCGCCAACTTTGGTCGTGTTGCATAGATAAAATCCTGTCTTTTGTAATTCTTAAACCCTCATTTTGCGGACATACTGCCAGCAAAAGAGGGGAATATTTAGTTCACAGGTAGAGCTACGTTTGACCTGATGGGCGTGGATAGTATTTCCATCGATTCAGAGCACAATGACTTCATCAAGCGGCAAAGTGGGCGTATAGGTATGAACGTAAACCCTATATTTCATCACCAAACCTCCACAGTTGTAGGTACTCAGAATGATGCTTGGTCACATGAAGTATCTGTGCTATCCTTACAGCCTCAACGGGATGAACGTGGTTTTCCCCAAATGAGATGAGAGGATTCACCAAAAGCATCATCGCTAGTTCCTCCTTAGAAAGAAAACTCATGGTACTCTCAGGTACTTCTCATCACCATGGAAGTCTGAAAATGTTGAGGGTACCACCAAGAAGTTGCCCTTCATAAATTGGTTTGTATCGACTGCGCCAAAGACTTCCTCCAATCATTGTTAGCCTATACACTTGGTCAATTTACCACCAAAGTTGTAAGTAGTAACTTTGCCTTCTGGTCTGACCTAGAACGCTTAATAAAGGACAGATGTTCTTGGTCTGAGGAAACGATATCGCATTTCCTACCTAAACTTGGAGGATCCTTCAGGAAAGGACCTCGCCTTTTTAAAACCTTGCACAATGCTAGCAGGCTGAACCATCTTTGAATAAAGCGGTCTACAGAGGATTAACCACTGCTTCGTCGTGACTTCGTGCCTCAAGAAGAAGCTAAGGTGTAGCTGTGGTAGTCTTTGTCACATATACAGTTATCGAATTCATCACAAAGTTGCACCTGAAGGGTTCACAACCTTTGCTGATTCGGTCTCTTCAAAGGTTTACTCATATTGGACTGAAGAGTCTCCAGTAAAGTAAAAGTATTTCTACGACACTTCAATAGAGCGGTGCAGTGATGACGTCCGGTGGTAAGCATCGCAAAGGTGTCCATCCTCAAAAAGCCAATGGGATTTCCCAACTGGGTTTCTGTTTAGAAGGATACTTTCTACGTATTAGCACCACTTTACAATTATTGAAAGGTACATGCATTCAGCAGAAGTACAAAGCTAGCGAACGGCTATAAAGAAACTACATCACGGTCACATGTGCATCACCACCGCTAAGCTAAAGGCGGCTAATGTTCGGCACGATGACGTTTAGTAGATTATTTAGTCACTTTTATGTCACGTAGAAGCTTCGGACATTCTTCAGTGGAGTATTTACTGTCGCAGAACACAAATATGACAATGTCTTCTCTTTGTGTTAACCACAGATTTCAGCTGTCTAACCACAAACACATTCAAAAAACCATCGACTTCGAGACGAGGGAAGCAGAAGTGGTAAAATGCTACGTCTTTTCCTGGTTTTTGGACTCATTACGGCACCTCTCTATTCCATCATTTAAAAGTATTTAGGTTCTAACACATTCTCCAAACTCACCAACACTATCTGTCCTTTCTCGGTCCCCTAACCAACCTTTCCCCAATCCAACAAACTCATCTCTTGAACTTCCACATTCTCGTTCCATCTTTGCTCCAAGTCATAATTCCCACAGCTAGGAGATGTCCTCGTCCAGTAAAGGTATACATATATATATTGATTAGGTGTGTAGATACACAACTGATCTGTCTTTAGGTTTGGCATTTTTGGGGGTTTCACTACTACATGTGCACGATTAAATCAAAGTCTAGCAGTCTGGCAATGATTTTCTTCAGTATTGCTTTTACAGAAATGATAATACAGTTGATCTTTTGCAGTTTAAGCTTCTATAACTACAGTTGAATACAACTTATTGGCCTCTTTATATCTCCGGAAGTCCAACAAATGTGAGGCTTTTTGCCAAGTATTAATATTCGTTGTTTTTAAGTAACTCACAAAAACACATTTGCATTTTTCCACATTACTTTTAGAAGCAAGACCTGGCCACAGTTTAAATATTTCTTCATGTTTTAACACATTTAGTTCAGATTACAGAGGCTCTGTGGTCGTGTGACGCCGTTTACACTTTATGTACCGAGTCATACGACATTTATAAGTCACAGTAGGGCTGTGCAATTAATCGTATTTTAATCGCAATTACGATTTTGGCCTGCCACAATTACGAAAACAACATAATCGAATAAAACAATTATTTTGCTTTGCTAGGTTGTGACAGTGCACTGCAACATATTTGATCTAATTTATTTTGGTCTAATTTATTTGTATTTATCATATTTACATATGTTTAGTAGCTTGTTGAAGTGCGCTCCAAAATATTTGTTGATCTTGTTTATTGGTATTTATTATTTTGATATTATTTATTTAAATGTATCATTTATTTTTGTATTGGTTTTTCAGTTGAATTATACGTTCAGGGAAAACAACAGTTAAAAAGAGACTCAAATTATTATTTGTATTCGTTTTAAAGTTCAATAAATGGATGTTTTCAAAGTCAATGAATAATCGTATTTAATAATCGTGATATCAATTATTGACCAACATAATCGTGATTATGATTTTTTCCATAATCGCACAGCCCTAAGTTTATAAGTCACAGGATGGCAAAACAAATCTAAGTAGTTTCTCACAGCCACAGATAATGAACACTGACATCATCTCTAGACAAACACCAGGTGTTATGTGTTAGGAAGTTGCATGCTACTTGTGCCGTGTGTGAAAGATAACAAGGTGTACACAACTGCAGGAAGTCATGCACACTGACTGAAGATGGATTTCAGTGGCAGAACAATACTGAAGTACATCCAGAAGACATGAGCAGAGGAAGAAGTGTGAACAAGAGTAGAAATAAAGCACATTTTTTCCCCCTGTTCAGTCTAATTGTATGTAATAAAAACATGTGACTCATATGTTAAATATATCTCTACAGCTGCTAAAAACTAATCAAGTCCTTTTCAGTGATTTTCACAACTTCTCTGCCTTCAATTCATCCGGAAACTGTTGAATCGTCCACTCAATACAGCATATTATCCCCTATTTAATGCAAACAATCAATTTTAAATCACATTTCAATGCTTCTTGGTTGTATTTTCACCACATTGTTTTTCTCTGAGCTCTTATATTGCCCACAGACTAAAACATATACACAGCCAAACCCTAAAAAATGCTTCATAAATCAGACCCAGTATCACTGTGCTGTGAGATATAACCCCAGTTTCTTAATGATCCGTTCAGTTACAGCAGTGAGATTTTGGGAGTTCAGAGGGCGAGGCTCCAGGATCAGAGAGGGGGGGGCGGAGAAACGAGGCCAGGAAAGAGATCACTTCATCGGGGAGGAGAAGGAGGAAGACCCCCTTCTTACATCTGGATCCTGGAGGTCCCTGATCCCATCACTGGAAGTCTCTGGATGGACGGAAAGAGAGAGAGAACAGGCTTCTTTAATCAGAAATACAACGATACAGGTGTTTTGTAACAGGACATCTTCCCACCAGACTGTCTGCGTCTTCATTTGATTAAAAAAAAAAAAAAAGACTAAGACACATATAAATTATAATATTTTATTATATTTTTAAATGTTCGTAAAAAGTTTTTTAATTTGATATTTTGAGAGAAAAATTGTGTTTATTTTGTTCATTTTCAACCAAAACAAAAAAGGTTATATTTGCAACAAATACAAAACAAAATATATATCTACCAACAAAATAAAATGGTGTGTGTGTTAAAGCCTGACACTGTATATCTTCCTCTGTGTCACATTGCTCAATTGATGGTCAAAAAACACATCATTACATGTCCTTTCATCACCTTGAACACACACTGCAGTTTAGTTCCCACACACACTGTCCTGCTGCCCCATAATACCAAACAACTGTGAATTAATCCGCCTTAGAAAATAGTCCCTCAAGAAATGCACTACTTCCTCCTGTTTGCTTGATAAGGACTGCAGTGACCAGCTGTTTTAGGTCATTACTGAAACTTCAAAAAATAAGCTTTGAATATGAATGATGTTTGTACCTGTTTTATTCTACGGATCAATACATATTTACTGTTCTGATCATTGTTATATCCTGTCCATGGAAATAGGAATAGGTCTACACTCAAAAATACCAACATTTGCATAGTTTTATTCTTATAATGTTATACTGTATTGAGTTTATTTTAAGTTTTATCCACATCCAATCAGACATACATGAATAGATATGCCGTCTACTGTTCTGAATATTTGACTCTGTTTGTATCACCCGGTTTCTGTTGGGTTCTTACTATAAAACATGATTTAGCGATGAAACCTGAACACTGTGTGTGTGTGTGTGTGTGTGTGTGTGTGTGTGTGTGTGTGTGTGTGTGTGTGTGTGTGTGTGTGTGTTTGCTGCAGACCTTCTGCTGTCTGGGTCACAGAGCACATCATGAGCCGCATTCATGATTGCTTTAATTGCACCTGTGTACAGTGTGTGTGTGTGTGTGTGTGTGTGTGTGTGTGTGTGTGTGTGTGTGTGTGTGTGTGTGTGAACAGGTGGGCTAGACTTGGGCATGCCATGGGGGTCAGGACCAGCTGTACGCATCACCAATATGGTGTGTGTGTGTGTGTGTGTGTGTGTGTGTGTGTGTGTGTGTGTGTGTGTGTGTGTCTGAGTCCTTTGTCGTGGGGATACATGCATCGTGCGTGTGCAGAGCTTGATTCTCCACTTTCATGTGTGTGTGTTTCTTTACCTGTTAGTGTGTATGCATGTTTGTCCTCTGTTGTGTGTGTGTGTGTGTGTGTGTGTGTGTGTGTGTGTGTAACATGTCTGTCTAACCTGCAGCTGTTGGGCTGTCAGCTTCTACCTGGACTCTCATGCCCTGCCCTCCGGGATGTGTGTGTGTGTGTGTGTGTGTGTGTGTGTGTGTGTGTGTGTGTGTGTATGTGTGTGTGGAGAGTCTGGGGGCAGCAGCTTTTTCTTCGCCCTGGAGGAGCCCATAGGGCGGCCACATCACACACACACACACACACACACACACACACACACACACACACACACACACACACACACACACACACACACACACACACACACACACACACACACACACACACACACACACACACACACACACACACACACACTCTGATGGCCTTTGTTCGTGTTCAGCAGCTTCCTGGTTTGATTTGCGTTTTAAAAATAGAAAAGATGCTACGAACTAAAACAAACTCACTGCTTGTTTGCAGCATACATTAGAAAGTGTAGACACGCACAGTTTTTGAAATGATATAACAAATCCTAACTACACTGGATAAAAAAATCAAAGTCATATCGTGAAATATTCATGAGAGACACGAATCACATCTCCATCAGTGTAGCCCTCTGAACGCCAGCTAAAGATTACTAAGACATGTGAAAACACTGATTCAGAGTCAAAGCTGACAATCAAAGTGGTCTCGAAGGCGTCATGTGACAGAGATGTGTGAATGGTCTCGAAGGCCCTGCGTCATGTGACAGAGATGTGTGAGTGGTCTCGAAGGCCCCGCGTCATGTGACGGAGATGTGTGAGTGGTCTCGAAGGCCCTCGTCATGTGACAGAGATGTGTGAGTGGTCTCGAAGGCCCTGCGTCATGTGACAGAGATGTGTGAGTGGTCTCGAAGGCCCCGCGTCATGTGACAGAGATGTGTGAGTGGTCTCGAAGGCCCTCGTCATGTGACAGAGATGTGTGAATGGTCTCGAAGGCCCTCGTCATGTGACAGAGATGTGTGAGTGGTCTCGAAGGCCCTGCGTCATGTGACAGAGATGTGTGAATGGTCTCGAAGGCCCTGCGTCATGTGACAGAGATGTGTGAATGGTCTCGAAGGCCCTGCGTCATGTGACAGAGATGTGTGAATGGTCTCGAAGGCCCTGTGTCATGTGACAGAGATGTGTGAATGGTCTCGAAGGCCCTGCGTCATGTGACAGAGATGTGTGAGTGGTCTCGAAGGCCCTGCGTCATGTGACAGAGATGTGTGAGTGGTCTCGAAGGCCCTCGTCATGTGACAGAGATGTGTGAATGGTCTCGAAGGCCCTCGTCATGTGACAGAGATGTGTGAGTGGTCTCGAAGGCCCTGCGTCATGTGACAGAGATGTGTGAGTGGTCTCGAAGGCCCTCGTCATGTGACAGAGATGTGTGAGTGGTCTCGAAGGCCCTCGTCATGTGACAGAGATGTGTGAGTGGTCTCGAAGGCCCTCGTCATGTGACAGAGATGTGTGAGTGGTCTTGAAGGCCCTCGTCATGTGACAGAGATGTGTGAGTGGTCTCAAAGGCCCTGCGTCATGTGACAGAGATGTGTGAATGGTCTCAAAGGCCCTGCGTCATGTGACAGAGATGTGTGAGTGGTCTCGAAGGCCCTGCGTCATGTGACAGAGATGTGTGAGTGGTCTCGAAGGCCCTCGTCATGTGACAGAGATGTGTGAGTGGTCTTGAAGGCCCTGCGTCATGTGACAGAGATGTGTGAATGGTCTCGAAGGCCCTGCGTCATGTGACAGAGATGTGTGAATGGTCTCGAAGGCCCTGCGTCATGTGACAGAGATGTGTGAATGGTCTCGAAGGCCCTGTGTCATGTGACAGAGATGTGTGAATGGTCTCGAAGGCCCTGCGTCATGTGACAGAGATGTGTGAATGGTCTCGAAGGCCCTGTGTCATGTGACAGAGATGTGTGAATGGTCTCGAAGGCCCTGCGTCATGTGACAGAGATGTGTGAGTCTGAACTGAAACAGAATGAATGTCTGCCTCCTCCAGCCTCCACAGCCTGGTGTTTGCAGAAAGGTTTTGATCTCATGTCGTAGATTACAAAGTAATTACTGAATGACCGGAGCAGCCTTTGTTTTACTCCTGACTTTCTGAGATTGGCTTGAGAAAAGCTCCATTCAGTTTTCACATTGTTATGTTGCTGTGTAAATAATATCGTTTTGAGAAGCAACTAGAGGAGATGAATGTATTTCAGATTCAGAATCAGAATCAGGTTTATCACCAGGTACGAGGAACTTGACTTGGTGTCATGGTGTACATCAAAGTAAAACAAAACAGGTAGAGAACTAGAAAAATATTAAAAATAATAAAAAATATAAAAAAATATAACAGTATTTACTTTATTTAAATGGAATGGAATAAGAAGGAATAAAATATGGAATAAAAATCGGCAGTAATAATAAGAAAACTTTGTTGATATTGTTGTACATAGTGTGCATTAATGTAATGCATAGAGTCTAAGATGTGGCTGAGGTAAATATATATCTATATATATTTGAGATATAACAAGTAGATGAGTAGTTACAAGGTGTCAATTGACCACAAAACGGGTGACCTTTGACCTGACCAGGGGTCTTTTGTCCTTTGACAGAGTGATGGAGAGTCAGTTATCTCATGACTAAGCATTACTCTGTGTAAAAGCAGACTCTTGAGTTTGAGTAGAGCACATGTGTCAAACTCAAGGCCCGGGGGCCAAATCAGGCCCTTGGTGGATTTAATTTCGGCCCGCAGGATAATTTCTAATTACTATTAGATCTGGCCCTCCGGTATATTGCACGCACACCTTCACTCCATCCTGAGGGTCTCCTCAGCTCAGAGCCTGACCCCAAACATTGATGACCTTGCACCCAAGATGAGATGCCAAGTATCAGAGCTAGCATCACAGAGCAGCACACTGGGTTCACATGGATGTTTCCTTCTGCACTTTCTCTCTCACGACAACAGGGCATGTTTGGTTTGTTCTTTGAGGGAAATAGTTTTGTTGAAGCTGTTGAAGGCCTGTGGAAAAATGTAATCATAAGAAATGACTCTGGAGAAGCTGCAGATGGAGCCATAAGAAATGAATGCAACTGATTATTTAATGTTCAATGTTGTTTTTATAGGCAATCATTTAAGCTTTGTTAGTTCCAGGTTTAATATGTGCAATAAGTTCATTTCAATAAGTTCTGCAATAAACATTGAACCAGTCCGGCCCTCGACTAGTACCCATTTTTTATTTTGGCCCACTGTGTATTTGAGTTGGACGCCCCTGGAGTAGATGCACTCTGTAGAGACATTGCTCTCTGCATGCTGTGTGCCTCTTGTGCAAAAGATGATTACAAACTCAGGTCATTGCAAGAACTTCCACCACAATATGACCTAAAGTGTCCAGTGATCGATAAGGGATGCTAAAAATGCTGAAAACACCAGAAATGACTTCTTTTGTGTGTATGAAAGCCGACTCTTGAGTGTGAGTAGTTGATCTCTGCATGCTGTGGGCCTCTTGTGCAACAAAACCCCCCCAGAACCCCTTGATAGGTTGATTGATTGATTGAGTCCGGCAGTGGCTCAGTCAGTAGGGGCTTGGACTGGGAGCCGTAGGGTCGCTGGTTCAAGTCCCCGACCAGACCTAAATATGGAGTGTGGACTTCTACTTGGAGAGGTCCCAGTTCACCTCCTGCCCTGCCGTGGTGCCCTTGAGCAAGGCACCGGACACCCCCCTTCCCCCCCCCACTCCCATTGCTCCCCGGGCGCTGTACAATAGCTGCCCACTGCTCCTAGTACTAGACTCCTTGTACTAGGATGGGTTAAAAGCAGAGGCCAAATTTCACTGTGTGTGCTGTGTGCTCTGCATGTGTGACCATTAAAGAGGGTTTCATCCCTCCCTATTCTTCTATTCTTCTATTCTATTGCAAGAACTTCCACTATGACCTAAAGTCTCCATAGGGGATGCTAACAATGCTAAAACACCAGAAATGACTCATTGTGTGTGTGAACTCACTGAGACGGTCCGGGTCCTGGAGGTGGGCGGTCTCACTGAGCTTTGAGCTGTTCTGGTGGTTTGATTGACAGCTGGCTGAGAGAGGAAACAAATCACAACAAAGACTTAGTGAGTAAATAAAACAGTGACAGAGACCTGTTAAGCCCCAAAGCCCCCGTCGGCGGGTCTTTTTTTTTTCCACACATTTTTTTTTTTTTAAAATGTTAAAATTTTAAATTAATTTTTTTAATTTGTTTATTTGTTTTTTTTGGATGGAATGAATACCTATGGTGATAATTCAATGTAATACATCATTTTTATAGTCTGGTACCTGAAAAAGGTCAAATGGCACTGATGGAACCAGATGTACCCAAATGTGCCGAAAGCTTATTCCGCCTGGAACTTGTTTTTGCTAAACCTCTCTAAAAAGGTCACATTTAACTTGTTTTGCCTCAATCTTGATACAGGGTACTTATTATATGTTATAGTTTGGATTCATAAAGCTTGTAGTCTACCATCCCATCATTTAAGGGTGGTTTTCACTATAAGTAATGTTTTTTCTTTAGGCGGAGGTAAGAATTTACCTTTTTTTACTATGTTCCATCTGAATTTACTCTGACTGAGAAAAATCTATATTGATTCTGACACTTCTACATCCAACTCACAGATGTAACCTTGCTTTGATAAAAGAAATTATTCATATAACCCTTTTAGAAGTGAAGTTGTAGTCATTTGTTTTGGGCATGTCATTTTCGAGCCTGAAACCTGAAAAACAGGCTCGGGGCTTAACAGGTTGAGTCACATGAAGGCAGATCCATGATACAGCTGAACATAAGGAACAGTATTTCCTCAGTGGGGAAGAGAGAGTAAACCAGAGAGACAACAAAAGCATAAATCAAAACAGCATTATCGGGCTGAAGCGTTGTTTGTCTTTGTTTTCTAATCGGCTTGTTCTTCCTCTCAGCCCAAACTGATGAAAAGTTGCAAATTAATACAACGAGCATCAGGCCGAGAACAATCCTCTCGCAGCTCCACCCCGTCTCTTAATTGGTTCACGACTAATCGCTTTGTAAAGACTTGTGTAGCTATTATCGCTCCCCATGCACCCAGCACACACACACACACACACACACACACACACACACACACACACACACACACACACACACACACACACACACACACACACACACACACACACACACACACACACACACACACACACACACACACACACACACACACACACATGCCAGAGTGACTGCACATGTGTTAGAAGAACATCCACCCCCATCTTTTCTTTGGGTCTATTTTTGTAACGCTATTTTAATTAATTTATAAGCTAATGGGAAAACAATGTTTACATGTTGGGACAGAAAAGCTACTGCAGGTTTGGTGCCATACTGTAAGTGAGTCTCAAATGAAAATAAAACCATTACTACACCATTAGAATCTCAAAAGTGCAAAAGGAGAAATCCAAACTGAACATCAGTGAATTCTCAAAAACAGAATACAAAAATACACCATCAACATTTTAGGAAGATATGTCTTTTTTAAATCTCAAAATTAATTACTTGAAAAATACCAAATAATGAATCCCAGAAAAACGAACAATGACGCCTTCTTGGTCACCTTTGTGGAATAATAATTGATTTTTTTAAATGCATCAAATCTAAGTAAACATTTTTTTAATTTCCAAATGTATGAAAACCTCAAAACTATAGAAAATATTTCAAAGATAAATCGAAAAAAAAATGTCTTCAAAAATACATTACAATACATTAAAGGTGGGGTAGGTAAGTTTGAGAAACCGGCTCGAGATACACTTTTTGTTATATTCCATGGAATGCTCTTAACATCCCGATAGCAATGAATATCTGAAGTGCTTTGACAAAAAATCCATAAATAAATATCATCTGTGGAAGCTGTAGTACTGTAAAAAGCACGACCAATCATCTGAGCCGGCCCGGCTAAAATAACTGGATGGCCTACCTGCCTGTCAGCCTTCCATCTGTGCACAAACTTATCTCGTGCCCTCATTGGTCATGTGCGCGTTCGTGTGTGTTGGAGGAGGGGCTCTGTGAGGAAGATTTTCTCCGGTTGTGTATTTTCAAATTCTAGCGCACTCGAGCTGGTTTCTCCGAAATTACCTACCCCACCTTTAATACCAGAAAATGCACAAAATGACACGTTCTTAGTAATCTGTTTGGAATCATATATATCTTTTAAATGCATTAAATCTAAATTGCTTATTCAATCTGAACAGCAGGATCCCGTTTGCATTATCGAAATGTGTGTAACATCCAATATCATAAATCTACTTTATGTGAAATCTGAGCCACTGTCTGCTTCAAATAGATGCATGTAAACTATTTATATCGCAATACTTAAGTGTTTGGATATTTTATTACACCCCTAGTTCATTCTGTATACGGTGTTATTGCTGTGGGGTGCAGAGGGCCAGAGATCTGTCCGAGTAATGCCTCTGATCAACCACCTGAAGATGCTTTAATGGGGTGTTTTGCAGTAAAAGTCTTATTTACTGACACTTTAAAAAGCACAAAGCTCACATTAACATCCACTGTGAGGAAAACACGGCTGCTCTGCACTACATCACAACCTCCTCAGAGCAGCCGTGTTCCTCTTTGAGAGAGTACAAAAGTTGCTAAACAGAGGAGGCAGCAAGGTTGCAGACACGGTGAAAAAGAGTCTAATTTGCATGAGGAAATAGAAAACTTAGAAACAGCACAAACACGCTAATTCAGCGATGAGGTGAATTGAACGATCACTGCGAGGGAAAGCTCTTCGCTGATGAATCCTAATGAAATCTGACTGATAGTAATTATGCTGATGTTGTTCTGTGGACCTTAACCTTTTAACTAAAAATCTGAGAAGTCTGCAAATCCCCTCTTCCATTAACACCTGAGGGAGGAGAGGGGAGGGGGAGGGGGAGGAGGAGAGGAAGAGGAGAGGAGGAGGGGGAGGAGGAGGAGGAGAGGAAGAGGAGAGGAGGAGAGGAAGAGGAGAGGAGGAGAGGAAGAGGAGAGGGGAGGGGGAGGGGGAGGAGAGGAAGAGGAGAGGAGAGGAGAGGAGGAAAGGAGACAAGATGAAATGAAAACAGGTGAAGACGAAGAGACGGTGAGATGAAGGTGAGGAAAGAAGAACAAGGGTTCAGTAAACTAATCTGAGTATTAAAATATAAAAGTAAATTACTTTCCGATACTTCTGGATCATCTCAAAATGAAATGCAAGAGAAAATAAATATCAATAAGATGTGTTTTACTTCAGTGAGTTACATAACATCGTAGATCAATGTGACCTTAGGAAATAACAAGCCAAGATATTTGGGATCAAAAGTGTTTCCTTTTTAAAAGTAAACACAGTGTTTCTGTGAAATGCATCAGGGGTCAATACTGCATTTAAATATATATATATTTTAAATAAGTAGAATGAAAGTAGCCAGGACACCCAAAAGAAAATGCAGGCAGCATTTCAACCTAATGCATATTTCTATATTTTCAAATGTTTTGTAATCCCCACAAACGTACCAGTAATCTCAATATGTTGTTTCTTTACGTACATCTTTTGTATCCTAGATGATGTAATCCTGTTACTTCCCAGGCATGGATATACAGTAAGACATGATATCAAGTACAAGGATGAGTGTGAAGGAGAAGGAAAGGAAAGATGAGGTTACTCATATCTGTCTGGCCTTAGAAATGTGAAATAAGAGAAAGGTACAGCGGCCTCATTACATTCATCCCCTCTGTGGGGCTCGGCTCGGACTAATACCTGGAGTAAGGAGGTGAAGTGCAGTATCAAGGCCTGCATAATGTCCCCAGATAGCAGATCAGGCGTGGAAACACTCACCTGTTTCTCCGTCACTGTTTTCCCTTCCTGCTGCGAGCCGTTCCTCCCTCTCCTCACCCGTTGAGTCTCCACCTCTCCTCGCCTCTCCCCCTCCTCCCTATCTGCCTCTTTCATCAGCGAGCGGTTAATTTTGGGATTAATACGCGTGGTGGTGGCGGTGGCTGGCTCTTTTGAGGGATTTGTAGCGGAGCCGCAGACACTTATCTTGGTCATTACGGCGCCCATATTGGATTTGAGCGTTTTAGTATCTGCCAAACATTCGTCTGCGGAGGAGTCTATCGGGCCGACACGCACCCGGGGATTAAGATAAGGAGAGCCCTCATTACGACTCCGTTCCTCTCGCGGCAAGATGACACTCGTATTGGCCACGACTTCTTCTCCTCCTCCAGCGATATCACAGAGGAGGTTCGGGTCCTCACCTCGCTTCCTGTCCCCGGTGAGAGGAAGGGAGGAAGGGTTGTCGGCTTTTGGTTTGGAGCCGGGCCCCTGGAGAGAGGAGTAGCTGGAAAGAGAGCAATGAAAAGGATCCAGGATGGAAGAGAAAGTTTCCTCTGTGGATCGTTGGAAGTACAGGTGGTCTCTATCTTTTGAGGGAGACATCTGACTATCACCTGGTTTGTCGTTGAGTTGTTGTGAACGAGGCAAGCTAGCTACACTGTTCAAATCGTAGTCCAAAGAGGGTAGAAAGTCCAGGTGCTCCTTCAGTAGGAAGCGCTGTGGTTTCTTTGTGAGCTCCATGCTGTAGCAGAGAGGCGGGCCCAGGTACACCTCCTCCGTACAGGCGGAAAACAGCGTCTCCTCGTCTCTAAACTCCGGGCTAGCAGGCAGAGATATCGAAGGGCTTCCCGACTTCAAATCCAGAGCACAGAAGTTTTGCCTCGATTCAAAGGCGGGCGACGTTTGCCTGGAAGACGGGGCTGAGTTGGACATCTGCTGCCTGGTGCTGGTGAACAGGTCGGGGCTGTGGAGGCCTTGTGTCGGCGTCACGTACGACGGGATGTTGTACGGAGTCGGAGAGGAGTTCCTGTCCTCGGAGCATTCGCTGACCTCGCCACAGTCGCTGTCGTGAGAGGAGAGAGACAGGTAGGAGTAGAAGTCTCCCTTACGAAGGTGGAGAGGCCGGTGGGAGTGTTCGAGGATCTGAAAGAGCAGGAAAGGAGAACGTTTGGTAAAGAACGTGTCTTCAAGATTCAAGGCTTTTATTGTCATTTGTACATAGCTACAGTGTGGATATGACAATGACAATCTGAGGATGTGCAACACAATACAACAGATAATAGTGCAAGTAAATAAAATAAAAGAGAGTATAATAGAAATAGTGCAGAATAGTCTGACTATATACAAGTAATTGGAATATTGATATAAGTTACAAACAGATGAAAGTTATGGATGTTCTTTCAAAAGTTCAGGTGTTATTTAGCTTTTTATTTAAAGGGGCCCTATCATGCTCTTTTTCAGGATCATATTTCTATTTTCACCCTCTGTCTGAAACCAGAACCCAGTCTGCTCTGATCGGTTAGTTGTGATTGGTCAACAGCTTAGAGATTGTCCCGCCCCTTATCCCGCCTATCGAGTACAATGTGTTGGAGCGCTAGCCAACAGAAGCGCGAGTGTTACATAGTGATGTCACTATGTTCCGGAACTTTGGGATTTTAGCCTTTGGAGACCATTGACATGCACTAAAACGAGAAAGAATAATAGAAAGTCAATTAATTTTTACTTTTGAGGTTTATTATGCACTATGCCTTTACTGTAAACATTGTAAATATCTCTCCTACGGAGCATATAAAAGTTTGCTGATTCAAATTTGGCTTATCTGATTGGAAGGACTATGGAGGACTATGGATAGAGGGAGGTTAATGGGTTACAGGTCAAAGAATATGAGTGTTGATAAAAATATTGAATTGACTTGAGTTTGATAGTTTATTTGATTTTCTCTACAAATGAAAATAATTGAAGTCAGTGGTATAACTCAAATCAAGAGTTTTGATCACTTAACTTAAGTAAAACTCTTTAGAATAATTAGTTTGACTTAATTTAGTTTGATTAAAGTTATAAATGCAGTCAAACTGTCTTGATTTCCAACTTTTGGATTATGTACATTTATATATTTGTGTAATTTAACACAATTACCAAACCATCCAAGTGTTCATTTGCATATTAAAACGTCTAGTGTATTTATATTTCACACTTTTACAAAAGAGGGGGAAAAGTTTTCTGCCTGATTTCTTTTTCTTTTCAGACATTAAATGAAGACTGGAAACTGATTAGCTTTTAGATTACTTCACTCGCAAAGGATACTCAAGAAATTAGTCATTACATCCTAAAAGTTATGATCTGTGATGCGATTTATTGAATTACTCCAACTCAGTGAACAAATTAACTGAAATAACTTTTTGCTATACTTTTGGATTCATTTGTCCTCAAAGTGAGCTGAATAAATGAGGTCAAACAGGACTTCAAGTGCTGCAAAATATCCAATATTTGATTAATTTATTATCAACGTCTGCAGCCATACTGAACTGTTCGTTTGATTCCTGTTTCATTTGCATTTTCATTATAACAATTTGCATGTTTGACTTGGAATGAAATCCACAACAGACTGATTGTTTTACTATTATTACTCAATTGGACTTCTGTATTATTCATTCTGTACCTTGTTTCTGATCTTTGAAGATGCAGGACTTTGGTCTCGGATGGACCGACCGTCATTCTGGTTCGGTTCTTCCGACTGGTTCTCTTTGCTCTTCAACGCCAATGAAGTCATGTCAATAATCTCCCTTACGAAGTCATGCACGTTGTCTGTCGTTCCCTCCTCTTCACTGCACGGATGGAGGGAAGAGGGCAGGTGGTTGCAGCCGGACGAGTGAGAATTGTGCCGTTTTTTAGGAGGCCGGGACGACTCCTTGTCTCGAACTTCCCTCTTCGTTTCCTCCGTCACGAAAGACGAGAACTTGAACTTCTCCTGACTGGTGATGGCTTTCCGCCCCTTGGTTTCTGGCCTGCTGTTGTGCAAGGCATCCTGGGATATGCAGTTCTCAACAGGAGAAAGGGAAGGAGGCGTTGGGATGGAGGAGCTTTGACAGGGCAGCTCCCCTCTCAGTTGTCCGACTAAAGAGGAAGCATGCTTGGACAGGAAGGGATTGAGGTCGCAGGACGGTGACGGAGGAAGCTGCTTCGTGGCTTCTGCTTTCATCCAGTCGCCAACATCCTGGTCTGCCTCCTCTGTGTTGGCGAACATGTAAGACTCCCTCAGTGACTCGCCTTTCTTTGTGAACACACTGGACTCCTCTCTAAGGAGCTCGTCATCCTCATCTTTCCCTTTCAGACTGCTCTGGTCCACGTTTCCGTTCTCCACGTCGTCAACAAACTGGCTGATGTAGCTCCTTGTGGCGTTCCTACGATTCTTCTCCTCTTCTTCCTCGTCCGTGTTGTCTCTTTTCGTTTTGTTGTTGCTGCTATTGGTGTTGTTCTCTACACATTTGGAGCGGTTCTGGAAGCAGTGCTGCTCTCTGTTTTGCGCGGAGGTGAGGTTGGTCCCACACTGCAGCTCATCCCGGAGGCCTGCCTCTGTCTTAGAGCAGGAGGAAGATGAGGACGTTCGGGGAAATCGGAACCAACTCTGCAGCTCCCTCTTCATGTACTCCAGCCCCAGAACGTACGACCCCTCCATCTCCTCTTCGTCATCATCGTTACCAGACGATGCACCGCTCAACCTCTCCCCTTCTTCTTCGTCCTCTTCATCGCGAACGCCCAGCTCCTCCTCAGTGAGTGTGAGCGTGGAGGAAGACAGAAGGTCGCTGTCGTCCTCGTCTTCATCTGTGCACGCTGACTTACAGGAGACGTTCACGACAAGACTCAAACTCGCCGCATCTGCTTCGTCCATCCCTTGCGCTCCTCGGCCGTGCCCCTGGCATTGTTTCCTGTAACAGCAGGGTCCCGAGTTGGCGTTGGGGGCCATTGTGGGATCCAGGAAGAGATGGCGTTGATTTCTGAGCATGGCACAATCCTCGGACCCTAAAGAAGAGTCTTCGTTGCTGCTCAGCTCCGTCAGAGATGCTGTTGCAGAGCTCTCGTTGATCAGGGATGGCGGTCCTTTCCTTGAAGATCTTAAAATCCCAGAAAGGGGGGAGTGGCGACCACCGAGGGAGGGCGAGGCAGGGAGTCTGCTTCTCTGATTGGAGCTGCTCCGAAGCGTCATGTCAGAAACACTGCGGGTCATATTCGCCACTAGAGGACTCTGGATGTTCTCCAGACGTTTCAGGAGATCCAGAGTTCTTCGGCTCAGCTCTCCAGAAGACGGTTCTCCTTGCGCACTTTTGTTGTTCTTCTCCTTTACTGGTTCACCTCCTTCTATCTCTTTGCTGTGCCCCAGATCCAGCTCCCCGAGGCTGGCCATGCTTCCCCCGGTATCTTCACCGCTACGACACGGTATCAGGCAACTCTCCAAAGAGGCGCTACGATGCAACTGGTCTTTGGAGGGAAATAACTCCCCACCCAGAGCCAGAAGGGACTCCAAGGAGGAGCTCTGAGATAATACTGGACTGGATGTTTGGCGGCGGAGAGCAGGAGGAGTTCCTGTACCGTTAAGATCAACTTTGAACCCCGTGAAGTCACTGCAGGACGTAAAGTCAGGTCCTCCAACCTCAAAGTCCGAATCAGAGTCTGCAGGAGTCAGGATTCCTCGCCCGTTGATTAAGATCTCAACCGCCTCACCTCTCCTGTGCTTCCTCCTCTTATCGTCCTCTCTGTTTCTTTTGATTTCATCTCTTCTCCAGACTTTCTCCTTCATACTTTCCTCTCTCTTGGTTCTGTGGTTGTACCTGGTGCCACCGTCTTTGTGCAGAACCAGATGACTTCCTTGTACAGATTCATACTTCCTTTGCTTCTCTTCGTCCTCATCTCCTTCTCCCTGATCCTCTTCCTGGATTTCGGAGTTTGTTGTCGTCGTCTCCGTGTCTCCGGTATCACTTACGATCCCACTTTCGCTTTCTGACCGCCGACTGCCTGCCGATTGACCGCTTCCTCTACCACTCTCCCCATCCCGGTATCCGACGTTTCCTCCTTGGCTTGGTGGCATCAAACCACCCAGGATGTCCGGCAGGGATTCGATGGAGGAAAACGAAGAGTCCTTACTCAGGCTCTTCAGCAGAATGTGCTGTTTCCGTTTCCCTGATTTGGTTTTGTGCAACATGGAGGAAGTAGAAGGAAACTGAGGCTGTCTGTATAACTCCACACTATGGAGGCTGTACACCTGATATACCTTATTGTTGTTAGGAGGAAGAGTCACATGGGTCATCATCTCATGACTCTGATTGGCTGTGACACTGGTACGATTCCCATTGGGTTGATTCCCATTGGATAGATGGCCGTCCAAAGGCAGATTTGGTTCGAAGGGGAGGTTGTGCATGAGGTCAGGATCTTCTTCTTCTTGTGGCTCTGTGATTGTCATATCAGTTTCATCCCATTCCCAGGAGTCATCTGGAGGCGGGGCCACTGGTGGGAGAGGGCTGATCTGATGGAGGTCAACTAGACCTGGTTCCAAGACGTTTCCAGGAACCTGTAGAGACAGAAATAAAGAAAAAGACATTAAAACATGGTTTAAATTGTTGAGCAAGGATAAGGCTTAGCTGCCGAAGGAAATACCATAAACCTCAAAGGACGGAGGATTTAATCCTGCAGTCTAACTTCTTGTCTCTTTTACTCACTCTTGCTAGGTTTCTTATCTACTTTGTAAAATGGCAAAAACGAAAAGGACAACAGGGTAATAAAAGATGATTATTCTGTACACATGAAGACAGTCTGTCCTGGGAGACTAAGTCCATTTTCTGATGTAAAATTCACTTGAATGCAAAAACAGTACATTACTTTAATTTCTATTAAATGTTGGGGTTATTCAAACGTTTTATATATGCTTTTGACTGTATATGAAGGTCTGATGGAGGATAGTATGGTACTGTTGGCAAGGCTTTCAAAGTCAAAGTCAAAGTCAGCTTTATTGTCAATAATTCTACATGTTGTACATCCAGAAATCTCGAAATATCGTTTCCCGCAGTCCTACAGTGTGACATATATACATCAAACAAAAAACAAAAAGGGCCTAGATAAACATGGTATACATTAAACAAAACAAAGGGCCTAGATAACCGGGGTATACAGTTTAACATGTTAATAATATAATTTAAGTGTTCAAAGTACAGTTTCAGTGCAGTAGCATGGGAGTGAGTTAGGGGGTTAGAGTCCAGGACCATTTGGGGCAGGGGAGAGAGGTCGGAGGCAGGGTGGAGAGTTCAGGGGAGAGATGTCAGAGGGCGGAAGAGATGGAGGGAGGGGAGAGAGTTCAGCAACCTGACCGCCTGGTGGAGGAAGCTGTTGCCCAGCCTGGAGGTGCGCGAGCTGAGGCTGAGGAACCTTCATCAAAGGCATGTACCATATCTCCAAAATATCAGCTTTGAAGGAAAAAATAAAACCTAATTGCTGTACAATGAAACCTTACAGTGTTATGTCTCCCTCTAAACGCCATGATAGCAATGTTATAGAAACATGTGCAAATTGATCATTTTAATCTCTTAGCAATAAACAGCTAGCTTCCGTCCCACTGCTCCAAGTCATATAAAACTAGTTTAGGAACATCAGAAGTTAGTATAGAAATGGAGCACTAATACATTGTTATTGCAAGTTGTTATCTACAATATAGTGTCAATAGTGTGATTTAAGTTGAACCCTCCGATCCAAAGCAAGAGTCAGCATCAGGAATTTCTCGATCAACAGTTTCCAGCACTGGCTATTTGGCCGGTTACCAACAAGAAGTTATTTCCTGCTTTTAAAACATGTGTTTGAAGTCAATTTGGCCACCAGGCACCAGAAGTCACCCCCCCCTCCTCTGCCATGGGTCATACAAATAGCCGCAATTCAGCTGTAAAGTGTTTCAAAATTATATAAATTGGATGAATTACAGATATAAATAATATACAAGGTTCTTCGTGGGTCATCAAATACCGGATTTGATTGGATTAGGCTGATTGATAGCCCTTACTCTGCGTGCTGAATGTGTTTTTGAATGCGTCTGCAGTAGCAAAAAAAACCCTGTTCAGTCATTACCCCCATCTCCCTTATCAGCACGAGGGGAATAAACACAAATCTAATAGAAATTCATTGCACAGAGCCATATCCACACACACACTCACACACACAGAGCCAACTAGTTTATTAGATTAATAGGCTATGAATGGCTAATACGAATTACCCCCCTCTCTTGTTAACGAGACGCGGAGCAATTTGTATAATTATGTCTGTGGAAGGGAAGAATTCCTGTGTCTAAGCATATTTTTAGACAGCCGAGCTTTCTGAAGGCTTTTGATTACGTATTTACTTTGGGGTTTTCAGCGCCGTGCTCTTCCTCTCAGAAGTCGTTTTTGAATAATTCATCGCTTTGTTCCAGAGCCGGAATAATTTGTGTTGAGATTTATGAGCAATTGCTTTCGGGGGTTGGGCTGATTTTACTCTTTTTGAAATGATCACAGGACGTGTTTTGTCAGAGCCGGCGTCAGCGTGTCTCTTTTCAAACGGAGGCCGAATACAAGATTCTCTCAGAGAGGCGATTTCCCAACACGTCTTTTTAAAGAGTTTGCTGCCAAAACAAGAAACACAACATCTGAAGAAACATCACCTATACTCCCTGTGTTTGATCGCTCAGCATCTCATGCACTTTAAATGATAATATCGAGCCAGTACAGTTTAATGGACTGGATTTTAAATTACGTTAAACTTCAATCTGAACAGGACCATTTCTGAAGTCCTGTTTCTGGCATTTTACTAGAAATTAGTAATATGAAACAAGACATAATTAGACAGATTGCTTCTCAAGGATGAGGGAAATTACACATGCTTCAGGGGATTTTCTGAAATGTATTGATTAAGGACTCAATAATTGCCTAAATGAGTGGTTAAGACGGAGCTTTCAGCGCTGTGGGAGGTGGTGGAAACCAACACACAGCATTTCATATCAAAGAGTAAATGTGCCAGTAAAGTCTTTCTGTTTTGATTTGTTATATTCTGTCCAAGAAATAAACCTAAAGACGTTAGAAATTGGATGTAAACCAACGTATAGAACCTGAATATCGTCCTATTTGTACTTCCAGGTATTATAAAATGTTACGTACTGTTTGTTTCTCCCATTTTTAAAAGACAACGTTAAATAACTTTAAGCAGTATGTCTAGATTTTTTTCTTTCCAAGAGTGCACACCAGTCTAGTTTCTTTCTATTAAAGAGGACACATTACAGTATGCTCATTTTCAGTGATCGACAGATACATGATTTGTCTTCTCAGAGCTAAGTTGGTTGACGAAAGCCATTTTGTTCAATTAAGGGTTCATCCTCTGGGGAGCAGGGTTTGGTCATGTCATGTTAATCTGCCGAACAACACGCTGACATTAGAACCAGGTCAAAATAAACTGCTTTCCGGGTTCCTTATTGCAATTTTTCTGTCACTGTTATGATTGGCTGTGAATATCTATATTTATTTTGAGAAAGAGGCAGGTAATATAAGATTATTGTCTTCTCCCTGCTCCTTTTTGGGGTATGGTGTGTTTATAGAGACGTGTTTTGTAAATAATTGTTATATATTAAAGTTCCCCTATGATACTGTTTTTCATCAATATATCACAGGTCTCAGATATATCCAAAGCCTGTCTCTGATTGGCTGAAACACCAAACAGATCATTGCAGCATTACCCATAACCCCCTCTGTTTCAGCCCTGTTTCCAAAGTGCTGATTCTCTGTCTGTTACTTTAGATGAAAATAAGGAGCCCCTCCCCACGCCCCTCTGAGAGAGATTTGGTTACAAAGAACTCAATGGTGCTCGAGGAGGAGATTCAGGTGATAAGGGGGGGGGGGGGGGGGGGGTTACCTTGGTTGCTGATTGGCTAATGGTTACACAAGACAAAACATCGTTATGACATCATCAAGTGGCCAAAATCTGATCAGTTCATTTTCAGACAGGTTTTTATAGAAATGGATCAGAAAGAGAGAGAATCTTTGTTCCTGAAACTTTCAGAGTCTCTTTCCACAGAGGGGACACATGTTGATGAAGAAGAGACATGAAGAAGAGGGGACACATGTTGATGAAGAAGAGACATGAAGAAGAGGGGACACATGTTGATGAAGAAGAGACATGAAGAAGAGGGGACACATGTTGATGAAGAAGAGACATGAAGAAGAGGGGACACATGTTGATGAAGAAGAGACATGAAGAAGAGGGGACACATGTTGATGTAGAAGAGACATGAAGAAGAGGGGACACATGTTGATGTAGAAGAGACATGAAGAAGAGGGGACACATGTTGATGAAGAAGAGACATGAAGAAGAGGGGACACATGTTGATGTAGAAGAGACATGAAGAAGAGGGGACACATGTTGATGTAGAAGAGACATGAAGAAGAGGGGACACATGTTGATGTAGAAGAGACATGAAGAAGAGGGGACACATGTTGATGAAGAAGAGACATGAAGAAGAGGGGACACATGTTGATGTAGAAGAGACATGAAGAAGAGGGGACACATGTTGATGAAGAAGAGACATGAAGAAGAGGGGACACATGTTGATGAAGAAGAGACATGAAGAAGAGGGGACAAATGTTGATGAAGAAGAGACATGAAGAAGAGGGGACACATGTTGATGAAGAAGAGACATGAAGAAGAGGGGACACATGTTGATGAAGAAGAGACATGAAGAAGTGGATTTTGCATAATAGGGGACCTTTAAGTTGTGCATACCATAAAAAACGGAACAAATAAAAATGAAATGATTAAACCCACATGAACTCTACCTGAGTCTGGTGTTTACAGTCTCTGTTTATCGCCAGCTGTTGACAGTGTGTGTGTGTGTGTGTGTGTGTGTGTGTGTGTGTGTGTGTGTGTGTGTGCATGCGAGGAAACCTGTGCTGTGTTTTTTTTTGGGGGGGTTGAAAAGCAGGAAACTTTTTTTCCCATTAGCTCTGGTTTGACTGCTCCCATTTGTTAGCATAGCATCTGCTGGAAGGCCCAAGGAGAGCGCAGCTATCTAGCAGCGTCGGGGTGATTATTCATGTGGCTGCGCTCCTCCAGGACTCTCTGCTGGATCTCTGCCGTACCAGTTGTCAAAGAGCTGAGGGAGATTCAAAATGAATAGAAGCTCGCAGATAAATCACCTCTCCATGCTGAGTGGAGGAGAAGACAGGCTGCTTTGAATGTAATTGCAAAAACTGTGAATGAAAACCTCCATATGTTGCTCATAACTCCGCTCTATGTTTCATAACGTCGAGGAAAGTGTTTCTAAAAAATATAATTTCCATATATTATATTCGACTAACAGGTATCGGTGGAGCTTCATCCCCACAAGGGCTTTCATTTAGAGTCTTTTACATCGAATCTGAGATAAAACGAGACCCTTCCTCTGTTTTCTGAAGAGGATGTGGACAATGCCACGGATACAAAATAACATCTTCAATAATATTCTGAAAAATGTATCGATTGCTATTCTGTTAACATTATTACACTGTTATTACACCTGTATTACAG